TCAGCTGACTTTCAAACCCCTGACCACCATTCAGTGCCCAGCTCAGATGCCTCCTATCCAGGAAGTCCTCCCTGATCTCTGAGCTGGCATAACCATAGCCTCTTTGAACCTGTCATATCTCTCCCGAGGTACCCTCTCCCTCGCATGGGGTCAAAGTTTAGGCCTGATTCCTCGTGGCACCCCCAGGCCCCAGCATAGAGTCCAGACACATTAAGTGCCTGATAAAGTAAATGAATGGGCCACCCAAGTGAAATGGCCACTCTGCCCCCTTCTCTGTCTCCAAGCCTTAGAGAGCACATCTCCTCCTCTCCTTCTGTAAAGATTGGTAAAGACCCCTGAGTGGCAATTCTTCCTGAATGGAGCCACCTCCTACTCTCAGCTCCAGATACTCGTGTGTTCCCTGGACATCCTGGGTCCTCTCCCGACTCCTTGGCCTGGCCTTTGAGGCCCTTCCCAGCCTGGCCTCAGTGTCTGCTTCATTTCTTCTCTGGCCTCTGTTCCCAAGGGTGCCCTCTACTTGGGCCTTGCTCTCTGTTCTGGACATTCACAGAAACATATCTGCTCTGAGCCTATAATCCAGCCACCACCAGCACCGGGCCTTCTGCTGCCTCCTACCTTCTAAACACCCCCTCCCCCCTACCACCACCTCCGCATAGGTACTCTCTCATAGGCAAAGGACCTGCCAGCAGTAGATTTTGGTTTTCACAAATGGGTCCACCATCACCTTCCCCAATAAACTAGCGAGGCCCCTAAAACTCCCCTTCCCCATAGCAACAGGCTCGGTTTCTCAGGGTGGCAGAGGGAAGGGATGGGCACTGAGCGGGAATTTAGAGCATACAGAAAGGTCCCCAAAGTGTCTTGGGTTTTTTCCAGGCCATGTCTTCCTCCCTGAGCCCACTGGAGCATTCCCACTCCCACCATCCACGAATCCATCAGATCCCACATCACAGGGTGCTCCTTTAGTCCGTGGCTATAGCCTTGGGCCTCTGGCTACCTCCCCAGGCATGGCCATGGCCGCTCTGCCATCCACCCCCGAGCACCACCCTATCACCACCATATCCCAAATAGGTACCGAGTGTCCTAGTCTATGCCAGGTTCTGTTCTAGGTCTGGGTGGAGTGGGGTGGTGCACAGCAGTGAACAAAAGGGACATGGTCCCTTCCCTCACAGAGCTTGCATTCTAATGAAGGACATGAGGGAAACAGAGTAAAATAAGTAATAAAGTGAGTAAAATACAGTAAATAAAATGAGTAAAATACAGAGTATTTTAAGTTACTTTTAGTATAGGTAACTTTACTGCCATTGAAAATAAGGGCTTTGGCTAAAAATAAAAGAGCTTCGGGACTGCAGGGTGGAGTTGCTATTTAAACAGTGTGGTCAAGTGGGCCTCCTTGAGAAGGTGACATCTGCTGAAAGAGTTGTAGGAGGCAAGGGGGTAGGCCTTGCGGATCCTGGGGGAAGAGCATTTCCAAGCAGGGAAAACAGCCAATGCAAAGGCCCCTGATTGAATTTATGTTCCCTCCTCTGGGCACCCACATTTTTCATCCCTTTACTTGGCCTTTAACAGAGTTCAAGAGTGTTAGAGGAAGTTTTTTACTTGGTCACCTGTCCTGTCGTACCCGAAGCTCCTTCAGGCAGGGACCCTGTAATGGCCAACTCCATAGTCATCCCACACACCACCCCAACATGGCCAGAAGCACACACACCCAGACATACACACCCACACTTGTACAGAGAGACCCATACACTGAGGCCAGAGAGAAGGGCTCAGTGATTGTCTGCGGAGATGAACTAAATGAAGAGTAAATAATAATTAAGTACACCCAGCCCCACCAAGTTTACAAAGGTCTCCCTTGTGCCTACTCTTTGAGCTGGGAACTGGGTGGTGATTAAAGCGAGGCTCAGAGAGACCAAGGTGAGCAGGCCGGTAATTGGTATTTGCAATACTGGAACCTAGCTCTTCTGATTACCATCCAATGTATGATTTCAGTTCTTAAAAAAAATAGGTCAGACGTGAATATAGTACAAAATTCAAAATATCCATAGAGGCACAGAAGTGTCCCTTTTTCCCTGCCCCTCTCCTCCCCCCTCCCTCCTCCACCCAGCTCCCTCCCTAGAGTTTGAAGGCACTTAACCAGTTTATTCCCAATTTACTTAAATGGGGACTTAGGCTCCCCTCTTTCTGTGAAGAGACTCTGCTTTACAAATATATCTGACAGGATGGAAACAGCCTGGGAGCCCCCGCTCTGGAAGCGTCTCTTCTCTGGTCCTAGAACCTAGGTGATCTGGGGCCAGGATTGGCATCGCCTTGGTTTCCCCAAAACCACAAGCCTCTTGGATAGATGACACAGGCCACTGCATGGCCTGCATCTTAGTCCCTGGGGAAGATCTACTCATCATGAGGAACCCAGTGTCCTCAGAGAGAGGAGACAGGGATGGAGCAAGAAGCAAGGAGGAGGAGGAACGGGCTTGGGAGGGGGAACTGGGCACAGTAGGAAAATGGCACTGTGCTGGAGTGGCCTTAAAATGGGGACCCCATTTAATGACCTCTGTATTCTTCTCCAGTGGTTTTACTGCTGAGGGACTCTAATTCCCCATGAAAATGATGGCGTTGGAGTCCCTGGATGACCACCCTTATGACGCCCTAGCACGATGCCACAGATACAATCAGCTACAACTGTGGAGTGCAGTACATGCCTTCCCTTTACTAGGAGGAGATGAAAATGAGTCAGCAGAGGGCCTGCTGCCAGGATCTTACAGTCTAGGGGAGGACAGATACCCACTCACACCCGTGGGAAGGTGCTCAGGAGCCTGGGTGGAATCAAAGGATGGTGCTTCTCCTGGAATGAGCGAAAGAGAGAGAAGGAATGCACGGGACCCCAGGCCGAGGGGCCAACATATACAAAGAAGAGGGACGCTTAAGAAATGGTAAGAGGAACTTACCAAAGTGGGAGGCAGAGACCAAACAGGAAGAGTCAGAGAGGATCAGAAGCGAAGGGTCTGGATGTCAAGGGGGTGTGTTTGACTTTATCTTACAGGTGGAAGTTTTCAAGCAGAGTTATGACCAGGTCCAATTTGTGTTTTATCCGGATCTCTCACAGTTTGTGAACACAGTAGAGGATGGGTTGGAGGCAGGAGATTTTAGAGGCTTCAGGAGCAGGAACTATCAAGGCTTGACTAAAGTTAGAGCAAAGAGAAATGTATTTATAATGCGTTCTTAAATAGGATGATGGGAACACAGTGTTAATGTTCTTTTTTATATGTCAGTTCATTATGAAAAAGAAATTTTAAAGTTAAAGTCAGTGAATACAAGCTCCAGGAGGGTAAAGATAGCAACAGCTAATAATGAGGATTCTTAGGCACTTAATAATGGTGCTTAATAGGCACTATTCCTAGGATTTTACACGTATACATATATTTAATCCTCACAGCCCTACGAGGTAGGTGTTACTCCCAAATTACTGATGAGGATAATGAAGTACAGAGAAGTTGATTATCTTGCCCAAGGTCACCCAGTCAGTAGGGTGTAAAGTTGGGATTCAGTGGTCACACCCTTAACCAGGGCTTGTTCGCCACGCGGGGCCTGTTCACCACCATATCCCCAGCACCTGGCACACACCAAATCTACTGTAATTTTTCGTTGAATGAATGCAGCCCAGAGAGGTTCAGCAAGTTCTTTCAGGTCACACAGTCCTTCAAGGTGAGGCTCCCACGGGAGCCTGGTTGGCCGGCTCCTGGTCCAGCACTCCTTCCCCAGGCTTGCCACGCCCCTTCTTCTCTCTCCTGTTTGTCGCCAGTCTCCATTCTCAGCTGTCCCAGGGTCACCATGCTGGCAGCAGAGCCTGACTCAGCCAGACCAGCGGAGCCAGGCAGGCGACCACACTCACGGCACCGGGTTGAGGACACAACCCAGGGGGAGGCGGGGCCGCACGTGGGGCGGGGCTACACTGGGCGGGGCCTGTGGCAGGGCGGGGCTGACGCAGGCAGGGGCCGCATCGCCCAGAGAGCTGCAGGAAAGCTCCGCCCCCTGCTAGGGCCGCCCGGGCTCGCTAGCCCGCTACCTGCCGTACGCTCTCCGAGACCCAGCTCTTTGGGACCTGTTTTCCAACCCAAAATGGTAGTGCCCCCGCAAGGGCCTAGGTCGGTGGACCCAGGAGCCTTCCTGCACGAAGCGCCGGATGCCAGGGCCACCCGACCCAAGGTTCTAGGCTCAGGGCCTGGAAATACCCCCCTACTAAAGCCGTGGCCTTCGGGTCTTCAGTTTCCGTGTCTGTAAAGCGTGGCAATTGGTAGGGGCGTGACTTTCCACTGCTTGTGCCTTGGAGGCTTTGGGAGATGAAACAGACCCCTTCCTGCCCACTCTAGCAAGGCTTCCAGTGCTTTTCGAATTGTGATACACAGACAGCATTAGCAGGATCCCCTGAGAACTTGTCAGAAGAGCAAATTCTCAAGTCCCACCCTAGACCAACTGAACTCTGGAGCTTGGGTCCAGCAATCTGGTATAACCAGCCCTCCAGGTGATTCTGCTGCATGCTCAAATTTGAAAGCCATTAATCTGTTATTTCCCTGATTCTGGCTTAAATCACAGCCACCATCTTTCTTGGGCGCAGAATATCATCAGTGGCTCCCTACTGCCATAGAATCAAGCCCAAGCCCTTCTCCTGTGATCCCAGGCTTTTCACAGCTCACGTCCCCACTGCACTCACCCCCTAGAACCACCACCAGCCCCTAGGACCCTCCTAGACAACTCAATAACTTGTCTTCCTTTTTTTTTTGAGAGAGAGAGAGTGTGTGTGAGTGGGAAAAGGAGCAGAGGGAGAGGGACAAGCAGACTCTAAGCTGACCATGCAGCCCAGCATGGGGCTCGATCTCAGGACCCAGAGATCATAACCTGAGCTGAAATCAAGAGTTGGACCCTTAACTGACTGAGCCACCCAGGCGCAGCCCCACCCCCACCCCTCAGAACACATCCTGCATGTGTTTTCAGGCCCTTGTAAATACCTTTCTTTTGACCAAAACTCCAAGTTTCCCCCTTCCAGGAAACTTTCCCAGAATGCCCAACTCTTGATGCCTCTCTCCTGGGAGTCCTCAGTCTTTGCAGTCCTGCTCAGAGATAAGCATTGGTTGGTGTTTGGTTTTGTTATGGGTTAAATTGTACCCCCCCCACCCGCCCCCCCGACCCCCGGCCAAAATTTGTATGTTGAAACCCAACCCCCACCCCGTACCTCAGAATGTCACTCTATTTGAAAATAGGGCTTTTAAATAAGTGATTCACTTAAAATGAGGCTGTCACTGGGGTCCCTAATCCAATATGATTGGTATCCTTATAAAAGAGGAAATTTGGACACACAGACACAGGGGATGTGTGGCCACAGAGAAAAGACCATGTGAGTGACAGCAAGAAGGAGGCTATCTCTAAACCACAGAGAGATGCCACGGAGGAAAGCTACCCTGGGGCACCTTGATCTTAGACTTTCAGCCTCCAGAACTGAGAAGGTTAATTTCTATCGTTTAAGACCCCAGTCTGGTATTTTGTTATGGCCGCCCCAATAGACTAATACAGATTTTCAGGTGGTGAATGGCATTTTTCCCAAGGGGTCCCCCCTTTCTAAATCTTACTCCTCCTCAGGCCACGGTGGCAGGCTCTACCATCACCCCCTCGCATAATCCTGGGCGCTGAACAACAGCCAGTTAGCCGATGGGGATCTCCGGCTCTCCCAGGGAAGCAGTGGGTGGACACAAGCAGACGGAGGCTGTCTACTCCCTCTGTGTCCCAGCCTCACCAATGGCTTCTGTTTCTCAGGGACAGTATGCTTAGCATTAAAGGGGCCCAGACACAAATGTTTTTGCAGGAGACGTAATTTCCAATTAGTGGATTCCACCTCCTCGTGTCCTGCCTCTCACCCCTTCCTCAACTCAAGTCACACTGTGATAGGCACAACATCTGTTAAAAGGACCCACCTAGGAAACAGAAACTGTGGTTCAGTCATGAAAACCTGGGCTCCAGACCTGGCCCCTAATCCGCTGTGTGGCCCTGGCTTAGTCACACCCCTCTCTGGGCTCCAGGCTGGCCTATGAAAGGGAGAGCCTGGATGAACAGACACCAAACACTTCTGGAAGCAGGTAAGAGGCTCCAACTGAGCAGAGCAGAGGGTGGGGTGGGAGGCAAGCAAATCAGGTCGGAGGAGAGAGAAGAAGCTGAAATGTAGAGATCCTCGAAAACCATGCCAGGAGGTAGGAATTTCACGGATAGGCAGTGGGGAGCCATGGCAAGCTTCTGAGCAGTAAGGGGGCCAAGCTGACCCTGGACAATGGCCCATGCCCCTGCCTTCCTAACTTTATTCCTGGCCACACTCCCCTTGTCGACTCCTGACCTTCCTGTTCCTCCTACAACATTCTAAGCCCTTTTCCACCTCGTGGCCTTCACCCTTGCTATTCCCTTTGCTAGGAAAGTAGAAGTCAAAGCAGCAGACACTTCTAGCACTTACTAATGTGCCAGGCACTGTCTAAACACTTCACCTATATTAATTCATTTACTCCTCTCCACAACCCCATAGTTATCCCCATCGTGCAGATGAGCACACGGAGGCAGAGAGAGAAGGGACTTGTCTAAGGCCTCACAGCAGTGGCAGAACTGGACTCTGAAACTCTGGGATTCACTCTGATCCCACTGGAATGGCTCCCTGCTCCCTTCACCACCCACTATAAAGTGGCCCCCATACACACCTCGCCCCTCTTATTTCCTGTGGTTTCATCAGAACATTTGTGCCCCCTGATCTTTTGCATTCCTTTGTTGGTCTCTATTGTCAGAATTGTCCATCACATTGTGAGCTCCAGGGGAGGGGGGGCAGGACTTTCTCTTTTTAATTATTTAAATTCAATTTAGTTAACATATACGGTGTTACTAGTTTCAGGGTAGAATTTAGTGATCCATCACGTGCCCTCCTTAATGCCCATCACCCAGTTACCCCATCCCCCCACCCACCTCTCCCCAGCACTTTCTCTTGTTCACGGCCGCATGCCTAGCTCCCAGCACAGTGCCTGGCACAAAGTAGGGACTCAATAAAGGTTTGTCGAATGACTAAAGGAACAGGGATGTGCGTGTGCGATGGGGAAGCTCAGCTCAAGCTTCAGTGGACCTCTAGCCTTTCCTGAGCCCCCAACCCCAAGAGAAAGGATGCCCCTCCTGCTTCATGTTCCCCATCCCACCTCCCACACACGTGTCTCCCCACTAGACCATTCGCCACCTAAAGACAGCAACTATGTCATGTCGTCTTAATACAAATAACTAACACATTTTGTGAGTATCACGTGTCAGGCATTGTTCCAAGGGTTCAGCATGAACTCACCCCTTCTAAGGATCCTGTGAGGTGTGTCCCGCTGTCCCCATTTCACAGGTAAGGAAACCAGGGCAGAGAGAAGTTAAGTACCTTGCCCACAGTCATAGGCCTAATGAAGAGCAAGTCCAGGATTTGGATTCGGGCCCTCCAGTCAGGGCCCCTTGTCCCCACGCAGCTAGTAGAGCTGCTCTCCCCGGGGGCTCTGGGTGGGTCTGGGGCCCGGCTGGAGCTCTGGCCTCCTCACGGGCTGGCCAGCACCTCTTCCTGACTACACACAGGCCCGCAGGGCCTCGGGGCCTCAGGGCCACTCTCGGAGCATCGGTGCATCTGAAGCCCAAAGATGGAGGCTGTGCCCCTGAATCCACTGGAGTTTCCAGTACAGGCCGAGAGCTGGCAGGGCAGTGGTTTCTGGAATATATTAGCTTCCCATTGCTGCTGTAACAAATGGCCACAGACTTCTTAACACAGATGTCTTACGTTCAGTTCCAGAAGTCAGAAATCTGCCCATGGGTCTCTAAACTCAATAGGTCAGCAACGCTGTGTTCCTCCTGGGCCTGCTAGGGAATAATTCATTTCCTTGCCTTTCCTAGCTCCCAGCGGCCTCCCGCACTCCCTGCTTCAGGACCTCTTCCTCCACCTTCAAAGCCAACAACAGCAGATCAAGTCCTTCTTACAACATGCCGTTCCAGCTCTGTTCCCTTCCTCAGACCTCTCTCTCTCCTCCTGCCTCTGTCTTCCATGCTTCAGGACTCTTGGGATCACCTTGGGCCCATCCAGATAGTTGAAAATAATCTTTCCATCTTAAGATCAGCTGATAGTAACCTTAATTCCACCTGCAACCTGAATTCCTCATCTCCATGTAAACTAACAATTCACAGGTTCTGGGGATTAGGACGTCAACATTTGGGGAAGATGTGTAGGGAGGGGGCCGGCTTGATTCTGCTTACCACACAGGTGTTTCTCAGATTGTTCCTCAAACCTCCCCATCCGTAAATATCCAGGAGATCACTGGAGCATCTCCAAAGACCTGACAGACAGCCTGGGCCCCGGTGTCCTCAAGGCCTCCAGTGCTGGGGCAGGTAGGAGGCAGGGGCCTCCCTCAGAGCAGCCCTCTCCACCTGCAAGGAAGAGAACACAGGGGGGCCGGTCAAGGACTCGCGGTTGACCACTTGGCAAGAAGAAAGTGGCCCCTCAGAGCATTTTCTCCTGTTATCAATAGCTCACCGATCCTGAGCTGGAGGCCATGAAGAGAGTCTTCTCCGCATTGTAAAGGGCAGGAAAGCAAGGCCTGGAGAAATGAGGTCACGTGCCCAGTGTCCTGCATGTCACCCACGTGCACACGCCCTGAATCGTCTGCTCCTTCTCCTGCAACCTCATGTCTCACGATAAGGTACTTGCCCCATCCAGGTGGCCAGTCCTTGAATTCAGATCAACGTGACCCTCCTTGCCTCCACTGTAATGTTTGGCTGGGCAAATTTTAAGAAAAAATCTGACACCTAAGAGAAACTGGAAGGGTTGCATGGGTCATGTCTGCCAAATCTTGGAGGTACATTTTTCCATTCCCCAATGGGGTTTTGTTGTTGTTGTTTTTGTTTTTAAGATTTTATTTATTTGGGGCGCCTGGGTGGCTCAGTCATTAAGCGTCTGCCTTCGGCTCAGGTCATGATCCCAGGGTCCTGGGATCAAGCCCCGCATCGGGCTCCCTGCTCCGCGGGAAGCCTGCTTCTCCTGCTCCCACGCCCCCTGCTTGTGTTCCCTCTCTCGCTGTGTCTCTCTCTGTCAAATAAATAATCTTAAAAAAAAGATTTTATTTATCTGTCAGAGAGAGAGAGAGCACGAGCAGGGGGAGGAGCAGAGGGAGAAAGTCTCCCAGGAGCCTGATGCGGGGCTCGATCCCAGGACCCTGTGATCAGGACTGGAGCAAAAGGCAGAAGCTTAACTGACTGAGCCACGCAGGCGTCCCTCCATTCCCCAATGTTGAGGGACATTTCAGAGAAGCAAGGTGCCACATACGCCAACACAACACTGCCCACACATGTGTGCACATGCACACGCATGCACACACACATACCGCCATTCTCCCAAGAGGCCCAGAAAAGCCTGTGGTCCAGCTGCAGCCAACCGGACTCTTCCTTTCCCGTCTGGATGTTTTTATTTCTTTTTCGTGCCTGACTACACTAGCTACAAACTCTAGTACAATGTTGAAAAAAACGGTGAGAGTGGACAGCTTTGTCCAGTCCCTGATCTTAGGAGGGAAAGCATTCCGTCTTTTATCATGAAGGTAAGCGTGCATTTTTTTATAGATGTCCTTAATCAGGATGAGAAGTTCCCTTCTATTTCTAATTTATCCAGAGTTTTCATTAGGAACGAATGTCAGATTTTGGTTTTGGGCACAGGCACAATTCTGAGCCCTGTAGAGCTCCAGGTACTGTTCTTTCTAGTCTTTAGGGCTTCTTTCCTGGCCACATGTGCTGATCAGTATGCAACTGATTACTAGAGGGAAATGTGACTTTACCCGTGTGGCTCCCTCCTCTCTAGTACCCTTCCCTGGGAACTCTGGCTACTTTGGCTTCCTTGGGCTCCCAGATCCATCTTCTCAACTCAGGTGACTGCTGAGCTCTACGTGGGTCACTGTTCCTTTGCTGTGGCCTGGAAATGCCCTCCAGGCAGTAATCTGGGGCAATCATAGCTCATCTCATTTGTTTTCCATCACTGTCCTAGATTGCCTGATAGCCAACATTTTGACGGATATTGTTTCTTATATTTTGTCTGAATTTCCTCTTATTTTCAGGAGGCAAGGCAAATCCAATTCCTGCTACCTGAAAGTGAAAGTGTCAATAGTCAGAATTGGAAATCAGAATTTGAAATTTAAACCAAAAAAAAAAAAACCAAAACGCTACTAGTTAAAATAGCATTTAAAAATATTCAACACTGATAAATCTGGGCACCTCGTGGCTCAGTTGGTTAAGTGTTCAACTCTTGATCTCAGCCCAAGGTCTTGATCTCAGGGTTGTGAGTTTAAGCCCCACGTTGGGCTCCACACTGGGCATGAAGCCTACCTAAAAAAAAAAGAGAGATAAATCTAACAAAAGATATGCAAGAGCTGTACAGTGAAAATGACAAAATAGTGTGAAGAGGAAATGAAAGCATAGATAAATAAGTGGAAAGATACACCGTCTTCACATATCAGAAAACTCAATATTGCTAAGATGTCAACTCTGTCCAAATTCACATATAGATCCGAAGTAAACCCAGCTGAAATCCCAGAAGGCAATTTTTAGTTGAAATTGACAAGTTGATTCTAAAGTCTATAGGGAAGTGCAAAGGACCTAAAATAGCCAAAACAATTTTGGGAAAAAAAAAAAAAAGCTGGAGGACTCACACTACCTGCCCTCAAGACTTATTATAAGGCTACAGTAACAAGGACAGTGTGGCATCACCCTCAAGATAGCCAAAGAGATCAGGGAAACAGAAGAGAGTCCAGAAATGACCCACACGTAAACGCTCAATTGATTTTTGACAAAAGTTCCAAGATAATTGAGTGGAGAAACAAGAGTCTTTTCAACAAACTGTTCTGAGACTATTGGATATCTATATGCCAAACAAAACAACAAAAATCTTTGCACCAAATATAAAAATTAACTCAAAAAGGATCATAGACTTAAATGTAAAACCTAATACTGTGAAACCTCAGAAGAAAACACAGGAGAAAATCTTCATGGCCTTGGATTAGGCAAAGATTTCTTAGATAAGCACCAAACATGATTGATGCAAGGGAAAAAATAACAAATTGGATTTGATTGATCAATGTAAGAACTTTTGCTCTTGGAAAGGCAGTGGTAAGAGAATAAAAAGATAAGCCACAGACTGGGAGAAAATACTTGCAAATCAGATATTTGATAAAGGACTTGTACCCAGAACATATATAGAACTTCTCATTACCAAAACTTGGTAATGAGAAAATTAACAACCCATTTAAAAAGGGGCAAATGATTTGAACAGATATTTCACCAAAGATATACAGATGTCCAATAAGCAAATGAAAAAATGTTCAATATCAGTCACTGGGGAAATGTAAACTAAAAGCACAATATCATTACACACCTATTAGAATGTCTAAAACCAGAAAGACTAGTTATATCAAGTGTTGATATGGAACAACTAGGATTTTCTCGTGCTGATGGTCAGAATGAAGAGGACCAACCAAATCGGAAAACAGTTTGGCAGTTTCTTATAAAAGTTAAATGTACATCTACCATGTGACTCGGTGTCCCATTCCTAGCTAGGTATTCACCCAAGAGTAATGAAAGCTTTATGTTCAGACAAAGACTATATGTGAATTTTCATAGCTGATTTATTTACAATAGTAAGAAACTGGAAACATCCCAAATGCCCATTAACAGGTGAATGGATAAACAAATTATGGGATATCCATTCGAAGGCATACTACTCCACAATAAAAGGGAAGGAAAGGTTGATGTATACACGCTATGGATGAGTCTCCAAATAATTGCGCTGAGTGCAAGAAGCCTCACACACAAGAACATATATATACGGTCTGAGTCCATTAATATAAAATTCTTGAAAATGGAAACTAATGTATAATGACCTAAAGCAGCTCAGTGGTTGCCTCCTGGGGACTGAGGTGGGAGTGGGGAGAGAAGGAGAGAGGGAAGGATTTACAAAATGGCATGAGGAAACTTTTGGCAGTGATGGACATGTTCATTTTCTTGATTACGGTGATGGTTTCATGAGTGTAAACATGTCAAAACTTATCATGTTGCACACTCTAAGTACGTGCAATTTATTGTATGTCAACCACATCTCAACAGAGCTGTTTTTAAACACGAGAGAAAGAAACACAGAGATCAATCTGACCTGGACTCTGCTTCCAGAACCCTTGTGGGGGGCTGTAACCTAATCAAAGCCTGAGGCTGGATAGGAGAAGCTGGAAGGGCAGAGTTTAGGTCCAGAGCGAGGGTGGGAACAGGGCCGAAGACTCCAGCCTTCAGCATTCCTGAAGTCACCCTCCCACGTGAGAGGCTGGCTCTGCCTTATCTCTAACGGCCTTCTCTCTCCAACATTCTTTCATCCTAAGAAGTTTCCAGCCAAAAAAGACTTCCTGAAATTGGGCAGGGCCTGAGGAGGCAAGAACAATAGCAGAGCCCCACTATGGGACCAGGCGCTCTGCGCACAGGATTGGATTTAACCCTCCCATCACCCTGGAGTGAGCTAGCTATCGTGGTCCCGTTTTGCTAGGAATGAAAACGGAGCCTGAGCAAGGTGACACGGCTGCCCTGAGGGTCGCAGCTGCCCAGACCCCCAGCCACAGAGGGCCTCTGGGGTGTTCACATGCAGGCAGGAGGACCCACGCTTGGCAGCGCCGTTGTGAGCCTTTTCTCAACCCTGGGCACTCTTACTTTGGAGCTCCTGCCCCACTCAATATGAGGCACATTCAGCCCACAGATCCTATAATGAATATGATTTTGACTGCGTCTATTCATTTCATTTGCACTGTTCTTATTGTACTGGGCGGGGGGGGGCAGAACGTGTTCTTTTTCCCAGTTGCAAACATTTTCTTAAGCTCTTGCGTTCTCACGGCAAAGCAGCCCTATTGGCTGGGGGTCTTTTCAGGGTGTGTTGGGGGGGTACTGGTTTTGTGGACGAGGCCTCGAAGACCCAGATGCGGGCGTGCCTGGGTCCTGGGGGCAGGGCCATCCGGAAGCCTGGTTTGCACGCGAGCTGTCTGTGCATATTCTCGCTCCACTGCCATTCCTGCGTGACCTGGGGCACACAATCCCACCTCCCTGAACCTCGGTTGCTTTTTCTGTGAAGTTGGGGTCATGGTACCTACCTGACGCGGTCAAGGACTAGAGCACGTTGGGCTGGACAGGGTTTAAGGTCCTCTGCTGTGTGGAGACCTGCGAGACCTACTTCAGGAACAAGTATCTGAACAAGTGCCAGGAATCCCGTCAGGTCAGCCATTTACCAGCCCCTGGACTCTGGGTGTGTTCCTTTGGAATCATCTTACCTTATCAAGTCACAAGTTCCTGAGTCACCCCCAGCCCCGCAGCCAGCTCCCCGGCTGTCCCCGCCGCCGTGCTTCCTGTAGCCCTCCTCCACCCGCCCCACATTGTTCCCTCCCTGCCCCACCACATCCAGGGACATTTTGTCTCCCTGGGCCTGGCGACTGTGAGCCGCTGGGAACAGGAACTGCACGGAGGCCCCCAGTCATTACTAGGAAGTCCATGTGGAATGGAAGGGGACATGTCAAGCGGCGAGCCTGTCTGCCCAGCCTAGACACCAGCTTCCAGCCACCGCCCTGGACCTCCCATGCCAGGGGGAGATAACAAGATCGGAACAAGGGACACCAGCCTGGCCGTGGGGCCCCCTCTGTGCCTCTATAGTCGGAATGTTCACTCACTCTTCTGGCAGGGTCCTGGATGTGTCGTTAAGGGGGTTCTGGATATGGAGAGGCCCAGGGGCCTAGGGGAGGGGCCAGGCAGCCTGAGCATTAGAGCGGGGAGAAGGGGGGGACATTGGCATCAGTGATTTAGAGCGCATGTGTAAGTGCATTGATATTTTAACCAGAGGTACGGACATACCCATGCATGCCAGCTGAAGGTCAGCCCTGCAGGATCAGGCCCCTCTGCCTACTCAGGTGCCACCCCTTCCAGGAAGCCCTCCCTGATCCTACCACTCAGTATTGGTACTCTTTCCAGGGGCCAGGCTTATGCCTGTCACAGCAGTTGTCACACCACGATCCCCAATACCCATCCCCTCATCTGTCTGTCCCTTGAGATATTCTGGGGAAAAGAGCTCAGGCTGTCTTTTCCATCTCTACCTGAACAAAAGGGGTCGCATTTTTTTTTTTAATGAATAAAAAGCATCCCATAGGTTCAGAACCACTCAGGCCTGGGCTCAAATGCCTCTCCTCTCATAGTTACATGTTCTTTGGGATGTTTGTCAACTGCCTCGTGCCTCAGTTTCCTCCTCCAACACATGGGGTTAATGATGGCTGCCTGAAGCATCCGTTGGAACCATCTGGGTGAAGTGTCTTTCCCTCTCCTTTCACTAACCCTTGGATAAAACTTGAGCCACCCCAGGCACCTGGGTGGCTCAGTTGGTTAAGCGACTGCCTTCGGCTCAGGTCATGATCCTGGAGTCCCGGGATCGAGTCCCGCATCAGGCTCCCTGCTCAGCAGGGAGTCTGCTTCTCCCTCTGACCCTCCACCCTCTCATGCTCTCTCTCTATCATTCTCTCTCTCTCAATAAATAAATAAAAATCTTAAAAAAAAAAAAAACAAAACTCGAGCCACCCCTGCCACAAGCCCAGACAAAGGCGTAGCCTTGGCTTTCTGGATGGAGGTGAAGGATCTCCCGAGAGACCCCACATGAACTTGGCTGCCGCACATCACCCGCCCCGCCCCCACCTTGTGAACGCCGAGGCCTTAAATTGTGCCATTCACTTTCATCGTCATGGGAGTGACTGACATTTACAAAGGGCTCAGGGAGTCACAAGCCCTGATCAAATTTTCACAAGTACCCTGTAACATCAGTAACAGGAGCCTCCCATTGTACAGATGAGAAAATGGAGGCGCCAAGAGTCCCACGGCATGAACTACACAGACATGACTAAGGATGCTTAGAGCTCCTGCCCACACACATTGGCATTTTGACCCAAAGGAAGCCCAGTAAATGGACCGGTGGGATTTCAGGCCAAAGGAGTGGCAGAAAAAACTGAGGGGATGGCAAGGGGGCTTCCCCAGGCTTTTGAAACCTGATCCCACAGGTGCTCAGGCCCTCTCTACCTATAGTCAGACCTGGAAAAGCAAACACACATCGTGCCTTTGCTGACTCCCTGGCCCTGGGAGGATCCCGGAGAAACTTGGCCCAGGGTCTGTACCGAGCTGGCTCTCCACCCTTCATTTTTATAAGTTCAGGCAGGAGAAAAGGCCGGGAGAAAAATCTGCTACTAATAAGGAAATCAATTAGTTGGTGTGCGTGTCACGAAATGTTTCAATAAAGATCTGCCTTTTGGGACTTTTTCCACCCCCTTTAATTTTTTCCCCCAAAGAGACCTGGCTGGGGCCAGAACGCATTTCCAGTGTCCTCCTGTCAGAGAGAGTCGACGCAGCTGCGTCTGGAGCTGATTACCAAAGGGATCTGCCCCGCCACCCTGCTGGCATCATGGGGTCAGCTGGGGTCCCCTCCTCTGCCCAGCCTGCCCACGCCAGGTCCTAATCAACCAGGCTCCAAAGGGGCTTCACGGCCCTCTGACACGCAATGACACGCAGACACACAGTCTCTCCAAATGGCCCACACATAATCATGCACACACACGTCCACATACACACACACAATCTCTCACAATAACATACTCACAGACAGCCCAAACTGCACACAGACCCCCCAACACAACCTACATACATGCATACACACACACACACACAATTGCACACATACTCACACTCACCCCAAACACACACAGATATAGTCACAGCCCCTGTTCTCCACACACATATACAATCACAGACACACAGTCCACACACATGTAGTCTCACAGACACAATTACACCCACGTACTCACCAGCCCCCACATCCAATCACACGCCTAATCACGCGCACACCTAATTGCCCTCAATTTCATGCACAATCACACACCCGTATACTTGAGGTGAGAACCCAAGAATATCTGAGCTAGGACGGATCTTCAAACTCTTCAATTCCAACACCCTTACGACATCAGTAGGGAAACTGAGGCCCAGAGGGAAGGCGTGAATTGCACAGATGGCCCCTCTCTATCCTTACCCACCCAATTAAAGGCATCTTGGGTTGAGAAATAGTGACCAAGGGGTCAGGGCTGAGAGAAGGCACGAGAGAGGAACTCATCTGGAGCCCAGCCCCCAAAGAACTTCAGCCAAATCTTCTAATGAGGAAATGTAAAAATAATAATCAGGAAGGAATTCACAGAGCCCCATAATTCCCCGGACCGCCGCCCAGCCTTGAGAACAGCAGCGGCTAAGTGCAAAGACGGTGGCCTTATTGGGAAGACAGATCAGGCTTCCGGAAACGTGGCCCTGCCATTCACTTTCTGGGTGAACAGGGCAAGGTACTTCATCTCTCAGCTCTAAAATGGGAATGAAGCTGACCTCACAGGGTTGTGGAGAGGGGTAACATGTTAGCGTCTCTGGCGCGTCCAGCACCGTGCCTGGCGTAGTGGCTACTTGCCCAATCCTACTTCCTTTTCCCTCCAGTCCCTTACTCAGGCCACTGTTTGGACAAGTGACCTGGGTGAGTCCCTTCCCTCTCCAGGCTCCGGCCTCCCCATTCAAGGGATCTCTGCTCTCCGCTGAAAGCTAGTGAGCAGAGCGGGCCTAGGTGGTAACCAAGGTGATAGCCTGGAACTTGCCCCTGAGCCCCCAGGCCTCCAGGTTTGAGGGGATCAGGGCTCTTGCCCCTCAGAGAGAAGGCTTGGACGGGAACTCAGCCTTTGTCAGGCCCCGCCTGGTGAGGCTGGTATTTGAAATATTCTTCTGAACGGTTGAGAGACGCTGGGAGGTCTCAGGGCAAGCTGGGAGGAGGGATGCGGTTGCCTAGGAAACCATGTGTTTTCACTTTCCTGAGAGAGGGGAGCCTGAAGAGGAAGGGCCTGGGGTGCACACAAGCAGAGGGGAGTGGGGAGAATGTGTGCCCTTGGGGGGCAAGCTGAGGAGGAAGGAGGAAGCCCGCCCAGAGGAGGCTCAGTGAGAGGCTCCCAGGAAAAGTTTATGGGTCCCAAATGCCTGAGGGCAAGCGGCAGACCCAGAACCACCAGAGCGCTTGCCAAAAATACAGATTCCCAGGCCCTCCCCGGAACTCGCTAAGTGGGAGGGCAGGAGGCTGGACAGGGAGATGGAAATCTGTGTTGTTAACCAGCTCCTGGCCTGGGAACACTGGGAGGATACGGGGGACGGCGGGGGGGGGGCGGGGGGCATCCAATTGGGAAGAAGGAAAATGGGGCCAAGCCTGGCTCCTCTTGGGACCTGGGTGTCTTCATCCAGAAAAATAGGGTGGGAGGAAAGTGGAGCAAATGGAACCACAGACGTCTCCACAGTTTCATTCCCTGGAGGCTGTGACAGGGAGGTAGCAACCTGGGCTTTTGCACAACGTGATCTCGGTGCAAATTCTAGTCGTCTCAGCCAAGTCCTTTGCCTGAGCCACAGTCTGCTTGCCTCTAAGATGGGCATAACACCTATTATTATTATTTATCAATTTAATAAGGCAGTCAAGTAACAGTCAGGTTATATGAACCCTGCTCTCTTGTCCTTGCCTTGGGGTCTAAGAGCCTTCTCAATGTGGCCCTAGCTCACCTTGTCATCTGCAGCTCCCCAGCCACCCCTACACCCTCCTGTGCTCTCTCCAGACTCCTCACATGGGCCTCTAGGTCTCTGCCTGTGCTGGGCTCTCTGCCTTCCTCCTCTCTACCTGCTTGCCTTTAACCACCCCAGACCAGCTCAAACACCCCTCCCCGGGTGTTCCCTGGCTTCTCTCCTCGGCCAGGACTCCATAAGGCCTGCGCTTTCCCCAGCCAAGCTCTTCGCTGCCCCTCAGCTCAGCATCCCCCCTAGCTGACAGAGGGCATTGGCAGCGGGCAAGGGGGCTGTTGAGTGGCTGCATGAAATCTGGGCTCAGACTCACCCTTCATGTATCCCCTGCAAGGCCGACCTCCCTTAGAGTCTCAGACAGCAGGTTACACCACCTCCCCCTCCCCCTCCAGCCCCCCCTCTCCACCAAGAGTCTTCACCTGCAAAGTCCTGGCTTACTCTGCCTGCAGCAGAGAGGGGGCAGAGAGCTGCCTTCCTGTCCTTTTTTTTTTTTTTTTTAAAGATTTTATTTACTCATTTGACAGATAGAGACATAGCGAGAGAGGGAACACAAGCAGGGGGAGCGGAAGAGGGAGAAGCAGGCTTCCCGCTGAGCAGGGAGCCAGATGTGGTACTTGATCCCAGGACCCCGGGA